AGTCCGCGCTCTTGGAGGCTGACCGTCTGTGGCTGCAGCAGGACTGGGGGGCCCGCGTGCTTCGCCCGCCTGCGGAGGCGGCTGCGTTGCGTCGCGACCTCGGCCTCGCTCGACCTTACGTCGATCCTAAGCTGCGGCATCCCGGTACCTACGGCGAGTTCCTTGCCGAGCTGCTGGCCCGCGGGATGCTGCGCCTGTCGCCCGCCCGCGGCCGCCGTGGCCTCCTGGGGGTCTTCGTCGTCGCCAAGAATTCGGGGCAGCAGCGGCTGGTGTTCGACACCCGCATCAGCAATGCTCGCTTCAAGCCGCCCCCCTGCGCCGAGCTGCCCAGCGGCGGCGCGTTCGCGCGCGTGGGGGCGCAGGGCAGCGGCGACGCGTGGTTTAGTAGCGGGGGCATCTCGAACGCTTTCTACGCGATGCGCGTCCTGGAGGGCCTTTGCGAGTATTTCTTGCCCCCCCCCCCGTTCGGGCAGGGCTGGCTGGCTTTTCTCATCTTGATGGGGTGCCACTGCGCGCGTCCGATTGGCTGCTTCCCGAGCTCGCCGTCTTGCCGATGGGCTGGTCCTGGGCCCTGCGCCTCTGCCAATGCGTCTCCGAGGCGTCGCTGGCTCGCGCGAGGATCGCGCCCGAGCAGCAGGTCCGCGACCGCAGCCTTGGCGTCCGTCTCAGACCTCGACGCCCTGCCGCAGGCGCAGCCTACGTCGACAACTACTTGGTCGCAGGGTGTCAGCGGGCCAAGGTGAAGGCCGCGGCGCGGAAGGTCGATCAGGAGCTCTCGTCGCTCGGGTTCGTGGTCCACGAGCAGGTCGACGCCACGCGCCAGGCGAGCTTCGTCGGCCTCGACCTTGACGGGCGCGAGCACACGGTGCGGGTGTCGGCCAGGCGGGTTAAGCGCCTGCGCTATGCCATCGAGGAGCTCCTGCGGCGGCCCAGGGTGCGCGGTGCCATCGTGGAGATCGTCGTCGGGCACTGCGCATGGGCCATGCTTCTCAAGCGCTGCTCGCTCGCCATCTTCGACAGCGTGCGCGCCTTCATTGAGGCCGCGCGAGACGAGCCGCTCCCCCTGCGGCCCGCGGTCCGCCGCGAGCTCTGGCAGGCCCGATCCTTGCTCCCGCTCTTCGCGGTGTTTACCGACGCCCCGTGGCGCGACGAAATCGCTGCCAGCGACGCCTCAGGCTGGGGCTGCGGCGTGTGCCGCCGCCGCTGCGACCCCGAGGCCGCCGCCCAGATTGGCCGCGCGGCCGAGCGGTGGAGGTGCCTCTTCGAGGAGTCCGCGCGGGCCCGCGAGCTCGCGCTTGGGGCTGCCGATGCGGCCGCAGTGCTACGGGGCCCTGGGCGGCTGCCCTCCGACGAGGCCAAGAACTGGGGCAAGTCCTTTGGCGAGGTCGACCCCAATTTGCTCGTGGGCGATGCCTGGGCGGTCACGCACTCTTTCGCCTGGCGGGACTCTTTCGACACCTACCGCGCGGAGGGCCTCGCCCTTGGCTCGGCGCTCCGCCAGCAGCTCAGGTCATCCTCGGCCTTCGGCCGCAGGATCGTCTGCCTCGTCGACAACATGTCCCTCGCCCTGGCTATTGGGAAGGGACGAGGTGCCTCTCCTCAGCAGCGGAGCGTTCTCCGTGAGATCTGTGCGCTCTCGCTTGGGTGCAAGCTGCACGTCATCGCCCGATGGGTTCCGAGCGAGCTCAACCCCTCAGATGGGCCGTCCCGCGGGCTGCCCTACATCAAGGCGATCGAGTCCGAGGTGGCTGCTGGGCTTGGTGCTCGTCTGTTCCCTGATGCGGGCCCAGGCGGGGAAGCGCCCGCGGGCGGCCAAGCCTCGGATGCCGAGGGGGCGAGCGGTCGATATCCTGTCCGCCCCCCAGGAGTCTGGCTCGGGCATCCTCATGGCGCCGGTGCCGGCGGCTGCGGCAGCCCGTCGGCGCGAGGCCCTCCGTGGCTCCCTGATGATGGGCTTGGCGTACCTCGAGCAGCGGCCCGTCGGCAAGGCCACGCTCGCCGACTACCAGAGGCGCGCCTCGGCGTTCATCCAATGGTGTCGCGAGCTCCACCTGGACTGGGGCGAGTGGCAGCTGCTCGACTCGATCGTGGTGATGTACCTCGACTTCCTCTATTTTCAGGGCCGCAGCGGGGGCGATGCTTCTCGCCTCCTTGCCGCGCTGAAGTTCTTCCTACCGCCGATCGGGCGTTGGGGCGACCAGGTGCTCTGCCATGCCTTGCGCAGCCTGGCGGGCTGGGGCAAGTGCGTCCCGCGGCGGATGCGCATGCCGCTGCCGTGGCTGTGGGTGGCGGCGCTGGCGGGGGTGATGATGCAGCGCGGACAGCTGGAGCAGGCCATTGCCATGATCCTGAGCTTCGCCTGCTACCTGCGCCCGTCGGAAGCCGACCTCCTCACCGCGATGCAGATCGCCCCCCCCGTCGGGGCGGCCGCCGGGGGCTCGGGGCTCGCCGCGCTGCTGCTGCGCCCAGGCGAGTTGGGCCGCCCGGGGAAGACAGGCTC